AAAGGAGGTGGAGAGGAGGTTGAACTATCCATCTTCTTTACCGTGGGAAAATTGGTATTCAATGACACCTATGTTGTCTGCAACCACATAACAAGGCTAAGCAGCCGCTAAGTTAATGACCAACTGAAAAAATTCCCCTAGTATTAGATTGTAATGTTAAAACAATTTCACCGGATTTATGGAAATAGATATTTAGGCAATAATAGATCAGTTGTGGGATGGTCATTTGTACTCGTGATCATCACTGCTCTTTTCCTTTCTTGTTTTTCTTCTTCTTTGTTCCATTTCAATTCCTGGGATTTATCTGGCATATTATTAGATGTTTTGCATGTATGCATAAACACAAGCAATGAAATTTCATACAACTTGTATTCTTTCTGTGCAAGGATGTTGTACACTTTCATTATGCTCTTATGATGATTCATCATCTGAGATTGACATGATGAAATGTGGTGATTTCTTGTTGAAGATATAAATAACATAACCTCACACTCCACTCCAAAAGAAATGTATATTATTCTTGATAGTGCTGTCTATATTGTTCTTTTTTTAAAAAAAAGTGTGTTTCTGCTTACAGTTGATTTCATCATGGGAATGTGTATCCTTGAGGGTTCCTCTATTTATTGGCAACTTTTTTTTTGGCATATGCTTATTTATCTAATTGTTAATGTCAATCTCAGATGATGAAATTCCATAAATCGTTGTTTTTCAGAGTGCCATGAGTTTTTCATTACTCAGTTGTCAAAATTGATTCTATAGTGTTGTTTTCAACTTCCTACATAAATATCCATTTTTGTTCTCCATTTGATAGAACCATCCTGCTGAGCTGATAGCAAAATTTTTGGATGGGAAGCTTCGTGCTGGGAATAAGGGTACTTCTGAGGAGGAGTTGGAGGGTACACTTGAGAAAGTTTTGGTTTTATTCAGGTTTATTCAGGTAGTCTTGGTGTTAAAGAAAGTTTTTTTTTTTTTTCCTGCTAGCTCAACAGATTTTTCTTTACTATCATATTTCTGGTCTTTTGGGAATGTTAGACACAGCTATCTATTTTTTTTTATTTTTTTTTTTTTTATCTTTTTGTTTATGAAGGGTAAGGATGTGTTTGAAGCATTTTATAAGAAGGATCTTGCAAAAAGACTGCTGTTGGGAAAAAGTGCTTCTATTGATGCAGAGAAATCTATGATATCTAAGGTTAAGCATGGCAATTTTTACGAGTACATGTTTCACCAAGTAATTTTTTTCTATCAATCAAGTTAATATGTTTGCATTGTCATTGCAGCTGAAGATTGAATGTGGCAGCCAGTTTACAAACAAGCTTGAAGGAATGTTTAAGGTCTGAACTATTTATTTAAGTTCATTCTAGATTCTTGTTTGTTCTATTTTTCTCATTGAAACTTCTAAAGAGGATGGTAGTGATGTGAACTTTGCGATTACATGGTCACACAACCCACAACTAAGATTGAGATTTGATTTTGGAAAGCTGAAAGAGGTTTGATAGAATTGTAATACAATGGAAACTTGTCTTATAGTACTAGCATTATTGGAATGAAGTCGACTGATACCACAAAGTTAGTTAATTTTTGACAAGTCAGATTTAGTTCGTTCAATAACCAAAGAATACAAAAATCTTCTTCATATTAAAACTGAAAAGTTCAGAAGTATTATTCATTTAAAGTTTTTTCTTTCAAAATTTAGGCTTTACGTGTGTTTAAATAGTTTTGAGAAATTAATCCTAATGAATCTACTCTTGTGGGCTAAATTGACCCTCTTAAAAAACTGACCTAAAACTTTTACTAGTAAGCTCAAACCCTAATACAAACAAGTTTTGAATCTTAGCTGAAAACCAAAGTATTAATTAAGCTCAAACATAGAATAATGAAAACAACAAGTCTGAATAGTAGCTTGTGGATGCCGCATATAATAGAAAGAAAAATAAGAAAAAATATTTTAATTCACTAGCTTAAGTAACTTTTGGCCGAGATCCACCTTCCTAGATATTCTAGGATTGCATAGCCAATTTTTAAAGTCCTTTTGATGCTAGGAAATCTGATCTGGAAATCTGATCTGATTAGGAATTTAATTGAAGTTTTCTTTCCTTGTTGAACTAGGATTTCCTTCAGAACATGGAATACATTCTTAGAAATTCCTCTTTGAAGCCGCCCAATCAAATCTTTAGCATTAAATAATCTTTCCAAGTCTAGGATTCAATTCTGACAGCTTCCTTTTGTTTTCTTGCATGACTAGGAAACTTCCTCCTTTATTACTAAATATTCTCCTAAATAATAGGGATAATAATAAACGAATTTTCCTTTCAATTTTAGAAGAATATTTTGTTGATCCTTGTAAGAATCTCAATATCTTAATTAGCCCAAGCCAACTTCGGACCCCATGTGGCCTCAACCCATACTCATAATATAACCAAAATCAAACCTAGTTCAAGCTCCCAGTAAGCTTACTTTGCTGCCCAAATCAGACCTATACATGGGCTGACTTGATTTGACCGAATGAACCATTGAAGAGATTGGACTGATCCCATTATCATGCATAAACCAAGGCTAGCTAAAACTATCCCATTCCAAAAACCTATCATAGCTGAATGGAACACAAGCTAAATTCCATGAAAAAACTTAATTTTGGCTGAATGGCCTCCCCATCAAACTCAAGTACAAAATCAAAGGTCCTTCATGAGAAATCCATGGCTGAACCATATCAAGTAGTTTATTTTTAGCCAACATAATTTGTGAAGCTGTCATGCCTCCCAAGAATGCATTTATGATGGGACACTAACAAGAGTTGGTAATATGAACTGGTGGCTAAGATTAACATGGAGTGAACTTTATATCCCTCTCACTCGCTTTTAGTTTTGCCGCATTGCACTAGTAGTGTAAAATGTCAGCATATGTGCTACGTTTGCCTCTTCCACAAGCATATCCAATCCCTCTAACATATCATGCATGCAAACCTAAAAATGGAATTAATAGAAGACAAACAGTGAATGTTACCTTTAATTCTAAACAATGAGGTAGGTCATCTTGTGACTGTAACACACATTTCTTGACTGTTGCACGTGTATATAATTTTGTTGAAATGGTGCTTGATTGGACTTCATGAGAGTGCCACAGGGTCATGTTATTACTTCAAGGTAGTTGATACGAGTGTTAAGAGAGGTAAGGGTATGAACTTAAGAGTCAATTTAAATGTAATGTACTAGTATAATGAGAGCATTTGTTTTCCTAAGAAAAAGAATTTCTCTTGCAGTTTGATGGTGGTTTCATACATGGATATTAGTTTATTGAATTTGATTTGTTGGGGAGCAACTACTGCTTTGAATTTCTTATATAGCCCATTAGAAGTGCGTTCCATGCTATTGTGGGCTATTAAATCCTAATGTCTTCTCTTTTATTAATTTAGTAATGTCATGTGGGTTGGTTACCAATGATGAAAATGGCTGCATATTTACCACTTTCTTTTTCTTGGCATTACTTTTCCAGGATATTGAACTGTCAAAGGAGATAAATGAGTCCTTTAAACAATCATCTCAGGCCAGGACTAAACTTCCATCAGGAATTGAAATGAGTGTACATGTCTTAACTACTGGGTAGGTTTAGATCCTAATAGCCTGTATTTGATTTAAATTTTTATATATTTAGTCCCTTATTTCCAACAAAGTTTAATTTATGTTTGGTTGGTTGCTCTGCAGGTACTGGCCCACATATCCACCCATGGATGTTAGGCTTCCTCATGAGCTGAACGTTTATCAGGTATTGCACAAGATACTGATTTTTTTCTATCCATTTCCACCTACTAAAATATTGAATAAACAATTGCCTTATGTGTAGGATATATTCAAAGAATTCTACTTAAGCAAGTATAGTGGAAGACGCTTAATGTGGCAAAATTCATTGGGTCATTGTGTGTTGAAAGCTGAGTTTCCGAAAGGTAAAAAGGAGCTGGCAGTTTCTCTATTTCAGGTCAGTCTTGTTTAGTTTTCAATGCATTGCACTTTTGATGTCTCTTACTGTCATTTGTTTTTATTGATGCAACCTGCACAGGTGGATTTGTTCTAATAGCTTACCATCCTGTCCCTTATATTCCAGACTGTTGTTCTGATGCTGTTTAATGATGCCCAAAAGCTTGGTTTTCAAGATATCAAAGACTCTACTGGCATAGAAGACAAGGAACTTAGAAGGACTTTGCAGTCTCTGGCGTGTGGAAAAGTTCGTGTCCTGCAGAAGGTAGGTGATGATTATGTGCATCATGATTTTTGTGTGTTTGAGTTCTTACGAATGCTTATAAAATTGTTAAATGTTGGGTTTTCCTTATCTCTTCCCCTTATTATTATAGAATTTATGGTTTACAGTTGCCCAAAGGGAGGGATGTGGAGGATGATGATTCCTTTGTGTTCAATGAAGGATTTGCTGCTCCACTCTATCGAATAAAGGTATGTCTGTTTCATACCTATCTATAGTAATAATATCATGTTGTCTGAATTGCATGAGCATGGCTAATGCCAAGTCAAGTGCTGTGCTTTTCCTTAGCTGGATTTTGGATGTTTAAGCTAAGAGTTGTTTGGGGATGCAGGTAAATGCCATCCAGATGAAGGAAACCGTAGAGGAGAACACAAGCACCACTGAGAGAGTATTTCAGGATCGTCAATACCAGGTTAACCTTCACTCAAGTTCCATTTTTATTATAACAGTTTCTTGTGATGGACATTTAACAAAGTTGTGAACTTTGTGCTTTTAATGTTTGTAATAATTACTTAATATATTCCAGGTTGATGCCGCGATTGTCCGGATAATGAAGACAAGGAAGGTTCTAAGTCACACACTTCTTATAACTGAACTATTCCAGCAGGTAAATTTCCTTCTTTTTTTTTGTTATTGTTGTCATTGTTGTTGTAGTCTTGAGTAGGGATAATGAAGCAAGGAAGTGCTAGGATGTAAGTTATAAACATATCTTCTCTTTTCTCTCTCTCTCTGTTTTTTTTTTTTGGTTGAGGTGGGGGGCGTGGTGACCTTTGACCACCCTCTAGATTCATCACTGGTCTTAAGCATTGGCATAAGATGTGACCCCTGACCACCCTTAGGATCTAAAGTCTCAGGTTACTATCACATGACACCAACGTATGGTAGAGTTGGGTGCCGGTGATCTCATTTTAACTTTATAAAACATCACCAGAATGTACCATGATTAGTCGGTGATCTCATTTTAACTTTATAAAGCATCACCAGAATGTACCATGATTAGTCAGTTTGATAGATGAACTGGGTGAGAAAAATGGGTTGCCCCATTCTGAAACTCCCATGCAGTGAATGGATGGATATTAATATTGATGAAAAAAAAATTGTATGTTGTGAACAGCTGAAGTTTCCTATAAAGCCAGCTGATTTGAAGAAAAGGATAGAAAGCCTTATCGACAGGGATTACCTTGAGCGAGACAAGAGCAATCCTCAGATATACAATTACTTGGCCTAACACACTCTCACACCAATTGTGGCCTTGTAAATGGCACAGGAAACTTCTGTTCTATCCGAGGGGCAGATGTTCAATCCTGGTCAGATTAATGTACAGTATGTTTATTTTTGCTGAAATCAATACTGTAATTGTAAAGCGTATTCTGCCTCCTCTTTTGACACTTCCCTGCTGCTATTTGATCGTTGAGTCACCTGAGACAAGGGCCGAAATTGATTCACAAAAAAAAAAAAAAAAAAAAAGGAAGGAAAATAAGCTCCGCCAGTGGGTTATAGAAGTTTGGAGAGGTAAGCAGGCAGACTGGCATTTTCACCAGCCACGAGAATTGGAGCATTCACACCTCAAAATGCACGATTAATGTTCAAATAGAGGTTAGTTTTATTCTTATTTTACGGCCGATTTAACAGCTCCTGTGTCATTTGAACGCTCGGTTCTCATGCTGCCCTTTGTTTTGTTTTTTGGTGCCTTTTGTTTTATCATCTTACATCAATCCAGTCCGGCTAGTACGACTCCATTATCAGTATAGTCCCCAAACCTTGTAGCACCATCAATTTTGTCCTAAACTTAGTTGATATCAGATTGTCATCCATCCACCGGTAACAAGTAACCTATTTTTTTCCCATTTGCTTATGATCTCTCTGTTTTCGTTGTTTCCTGCCAAAGAGACTGCAAAGTAGGTTTCAGTTAAGTCATAATTCACAACTGCTGTAGTGCCAAAATAAGAACATTGTGTGAGCTAAAGCTGCAAGTTAGGGCTTGGGGAGAATAACAAGAATTAATGAGTGAAAATAATGTTTGGATTTAAATGGAATGTTTTTGATAAATGGATGGTAGGGTCATGTTATTATGTTCGAGATAAAATCGACAAGATTCAGATAAAAGTAAGAGGTTTGGAGCTCTGACTGTTAGTGACTTCTGAAGTTGAACCTACACAAGATAATTCTGTTGTTTTTGTCCTGGTTAATGTGAAATTGACGTTAAATTTCTTATGGAATGGCGCTAAGTAAAAGGAAAGGAGGGTTTAATAGTTAAATGCCAAATATTATTAAGGTTGTGCGGAAGTCATGTTCTCTAATTATGTTATGAAGTCGATCATGAATCACGTGCAGAAGTCATGCCAAGTGCCCTACACTCGTATACTATCAAAGCTCTCACATCAGTCAATCAGATGTTTCGATTGCGCTTGTCACTGCAGCCATTGATTTTCACTCCTCCTGTCCCCACCCGATATTCAAAGCTTCCTGCCGGAGAGAAAGGTCCGTTGCCGGAGAGACAGCCCTTGTCTTAGTGGTCCAGCCCAGTCAGCTATATGGGTTCGTCGACCACTACTTTCAGAGACTAATTGCAAAATAAACTTCCGCTTTTGCACCAACGGAACAATCAGCTAGTCCCCTCTTTCCACCCGCGCCATACTGCGGGTAGTATTTTAAATAAATTTTTAATCGCAACAGAAAAGAAATAATGTTATGGATTTTTTATATATATATTATGATTATTTTAATTGAAAAATAAAAAGATAATATTTATATTTTATAAAATAAATTAACAAAATATGTGAAATGATATATATATATAAAGAGTTTGAAACTAATTAAAATACTAGTAGTCTAGGATTACAGTAAATTATTTTTTCTCTTTATCCTTCAATGTTTAAAGCTTTACTTGAAAGGCAGGATAATCTTACACACGATCAACTTGTTAATCTTTATTTGTTTGAGCAACACTATCTTTTTATTATAACATTACAATTACTATATTGCCCTTTGAGAGTAAGCAATTATAATCTTTGGTCCATAACCGTATGATAATTTTAGTTTTATCATGAACAATTGAATCACGCATCTATCTTTATTATGCAAATTTGTTGTTAGCCTTGACTTTAAGAACTTAATTCTCATTTTCGAATAGCTTTTTTTTTTGTTATTGTTATTTAGTTACAAAGGGCATTTTTGTTTTTTTTATATATATATATATATAATTTTATGAGCAATTGAGTTACTCCATTACCTTTATCATTTTATATATATATATATATTATTGTTGATGATGTTTAGTCATTAGATCATTTTTTATTTTGTGCACGTGAAAAGGATTGTTAAAGTATACTTGGCATGTTTCATCAAGTAGTTGCTTTGTTGTCTTTGGGTGGCATATACAGCTCATAACAATGATTGAAATTAAGCTTCTTGTTCTTCTTAGGTGTCACATGTCTAATAGTGCAGTATGGTTTGATACTAGTTGACTTTTTTTTTTTTATCGGATTGCATGTTGACCATGAAAAAAAACTTATATTAGCCCTTCAATTTCTTTTGATTCAGTCCTTGTTTTTTTTTTAATTGGTTTATTTACAATGTTTATTTTTGATTTCATCCTTGTTATTTGATTTTGTTAGTTTTTTTTAAATCAAATTTAGTCTTTATTTTTTTAATTGTTTTTTTCAATCATTTTATGAAAGGAAAAAAAGACTAGTTCCCTGTTTTTACTTTGAAAAAATTAATTAAGTTATTTTAATAAATAAATAAAATATAAAACCAGCATAGAAATCTATTAAATTTCTTTAAATACATAAAAAGAATGTATTCTTAAGTTTAAGTAAAGGGTGATATGAAAATTATCTAAAACGCTGCCTTGAGTTAAATAAATAAAACTAATTTCTCCGTTTTTTTATAGACACACATTGAATACACAAGCATGATTAAACCTTTCAGCTCTTGATCAGCTTCATTTCTTTCTTTATGTTAATGCATAAGTAATGTAATGCTATAAAACTATTCTCACAAAGTATTATAGCTTTTTCTTATATTTTTTTTTGTTTTTTGTTTACATGTGTTTTTTTTCCAAATTTATCTTGTTCTTATATATATATATATATATATATTAAATTATCTTTATTTTTTTTTTAATATTGAATTAGTTGAGAATTTAGTTTTGTAATTTTATTCTTTAAGATTTTATGGATTGCTATATTGTTTTCCTACATGATTTTTTTTTATGAATTTGTTTCTTTTTTTTGTTGATTTTTTTTTATATTAAGTTAGTTAAGAATTTTGCTTTGTATTTTTTTAAAAAAAATATCGTGGATTGTTATAATGTTTCCTCACATGATTTTTGTTTTGTTAAAGTTTTTTTCCATATTTTTTTAAATTATATTTATTAATTTTTTTAATATTGAGTTGATTAAAAATTTAACTTTAATTTTCCCCACATGTTTTATTTCTCATTTTTTTCTTTTTTTATGTTTTTTTTAATTTTATTTTTTAATATTTAGTTAGTTGAGCATTTATTTGTGTAGTTAAAAAAAATAAAATTATGGATTGCTATAGTATTTCTCCACATAATTTTTTTTTTGTTGTGATTTTTTTTCCAGAATTGTCTTTGTTAATTTTTTTTTTCATATTAAGCTAGTTGAGAATTTAACTTTGTAGTTTTTTTAAAAAAAATATTATGAATTGCTACAGTATTTTTTGTTGAGAATTTAACTTTGTAGTTTTTTTTAAAAAAATATTATGAATTGCTACAATATTTTTCCATATAATTTGTTTTTTTTTGTAATTTTTTACAAAACTATCTTTATCAATTTTATTATTTTTAATATTAAGTTGGTTGAAAATTATAATTGTAAATTTTCTCATGAGAACCTATAGATTGTTACAGTATATCTCTTAATAGTTTTTTTTTGTTTTGTTTTTGTATGATTTTTTTAAATTATCTTTGTTAATTTTAGTTTTTTAATATTAAATTGATTAAAAATTTAGCATTATAGTTTTTCTTGAAAATATTGTGAATTACAATTATTTTTCCCTATATAATTTTTTTTTATATATAATTTTTTTTATAAATTCATAACAAGATGCAAGAGGGAGATTACATATACTAAACATGAAAACACGTGTGTGTATTATCAGCAACATTAATTACATAAACACAGAAACAATTATATATGGACGAGTCATGGCGAATGCGCATGGGAGTGCCAATGCCAAGCGTCCCAAGACGCCGATCCATGGAGGATATTGCAACCACAAGACATTTCATGGAAGCCAGATTAGACCCAGACGATTTCGCAGACGTTTTCGGTGGGCCTCCAAGGAGTGTTCTTTCTCGCAAATTCTCTGCTGACTCCACCAGATCTTCTTCTTCTCCTTACGAACAGATTTCCCTGCCACCTACGGAGTTTGTGTCTACGGGGAAAACCAATGGAGGGTGCAGCTTGCCGGCATTCAGGATTCCGGACAGGGTAGAAGGGCTCTATAATGATGTGTTCGGGTTATCGGAGGAGGGCAGATGGTCAAGAGAAAACTCCAAGTCCAAATGGAACTCTTCGTCGGTACTTAGTTCGAAGGAGCTCAATCCTCTACGGCGGCCGGTGACTGGAGATGACGTTGCCTTGTCTTCTTCTGCTTCAAAGCTCAGGTACCTACTTTTAACTATTTTCTTTATGGTTCGTCGGTTTGAAAATAATATAATTCCCTTTTTAACGTTATTTACTTTTCACAATCGTGTAATTTCGGGGTAAAGTAAGGAATAAAAAGGAAGAAGAAAGAAGCAAGATTGTTATGGAATTTTAGAGAAAGCGAATGATAATCATTTAAACTCATAAACAAATTTTACATTCCTCAATTTCCTTCAACTCACACTTAACATTATCAAATAATTTAATTTAGTGTTCTATCGTTACCCTTTGATTTTATTTTTTTTATCCATATTTTTACACCAAGAAATTCATGTACCCCTACTAGGTTTCTACTCAATATTTAAAAATAAATGAAATATACGCAATTTTTACTATTAATATGATTTGTTTTTCTATTTTTTTTTTCTTTCTGAGAAACACCTTTTTTCTTGCTTAATTATCATTGAAATTGTTAATACTCATTGATTCTTGCACTGCAGAAGTTACAGAATAGTGTATAGAAATTTATGCTAATATTTGAAAATATCTCTTTGTCTCGCATAAACTGAAAGACCAACGAAGGCAACGAGTGCAGGATACAAAATGTTTCTTTGCATTGTATTAGTTTTTTTTTTTAAAAAAATATTTTTAATTTTTTTTAAAATATTAAAATATTAAATAAATCCTAACATGAAAAAATTATATGTTCATGCAACAAACTTGATTGAAAAAAAGTTATAAAACAACACAACAACCAAATAAAATACTTATATTGCAAATATATACAATAAAAATTAACATTTTAAAATTGAATTCAAGTAAAAATTAGATAATTTTACTTATTTGTTGTAGGTAATTCTCAATAAAATTTAAATAAAAATAAAAATACTAATTGACTAAGTATTAGGGGCTGCTGAATTTATGGTAAGATGTTGATTTATAATAAAATAGAAGGAAATTGAGAAAAAAAAAAAGAAAAAATGAAGTAGGGGGAGAGGGGGGTCATTGGCCAATAAATTAAATATCACCAACAGTATTACAGTATTATAGAAGGAATTCATTAATAGGTTAATTTTATTGGTAATTTTATTTATCTTAATAATATATTATTATATTTTTTATATTTGTTTTATTCATAATTCTAATCAGTATACATCAAGAGAATATATTTATTAGTATTTGCCAATTGATGTAACAAGAGACTATTCTATCAATATAATTCACCACAATTTACCATTAAATTTTTTTTATTGATATTTCTATTTGTATTTATTAATTTTATTGTAGTATTTTTTACCTGAAAAAATATTAAATTAATTTTTAAGTATTTTTAATATTATTTTGATGTATTAATGTTAAAAATAAAAATAAAAATAAATTATAAAAAAATAAATTATTTTAATAAATTTTTAATTTTTTTTTTAAAAACATCTGTATTACCAAACAAACAGTAACGTGATCGCTCACAATTTATCATTGCAAACATGCATATATTGTAGTGTATTGTTTGTTTGTTGCGTTTCCTCCAAATGATTGGTTTAGGTGGTTATTCAATTTGAAGTATCAATTTTAGTTTCGTTACTAGTTTTTTTTATTTATTTGTTATAAAGTGGCATATCCCCGTCTAATTAATCTAAATCATAAAGGTATCGTAACTTTAGTTTTAATAGAAGATCAGTTTAGATACGTGAGAGTTGAGTAAAAAAGACACAATATTTCCTATAATACATATATTTAATAATATTAAGTGAGAGTTTTATAATTAGCTATCTAACTTTATTTATTTAACGTTGTGATTAGATTATTTATCTAACTTTATCTATAAGAAATAATTTTATTTTTTAGTTGGAGAATAGAATGATCATCTAAGGGTATGATTATCGTGTATATATATATATATATATATATATATATAGACTAATTCTAATATTGAGTAAAAGTAATATAATTAGGTGTTTTCATATGAAAAAAATTATTATGTTTCTTGATTAACAAATTTTATTCTAGGCTTCTTGGTAGATAAACATTATCTGGATTTCGTAAATTAAAAAAAAAAAAGTTTCTTTGAGGGTTTTTAATTTATCAATATTTATCCATAAATAAAAGTGCAACCGCGTGGAAGTAAAGAATTATGCCATCCTTTTTTTAGAAAATCCTTCACGTCAATATTTTTTTTTTCCAGTTTCCTTGTGGTGTCCCAATCCTATTCAGATATGCCTGAAGGAGACCATGTTGAAACTTTTCTTTTTCTTATTTGCAGTTGTTGCGTGAGAAATATACAAGCACACTATATACACTCTGTTTTGCATCTAGAAAATGAAGAATGCTAATATTTTCTTCTCATCTATGGAGGCCAATCAATGTGCCTTACAGATGGAACTCAAACACGATGAGACCTGAAGAACAACCATCTGCGAGGCAATGAGATATGCCATCTTTTTCATGCAATCATACTGACACATATTACCTGGAAAAATGAATACATTAATGAGAATCTCAGAGACTCCTCCTGTTTTAAAGTTTCACGGCAGGGCTCATCCTCAGAAACAACTAGTGATCTTGAACCCCATTCATACCGATGCCTCAGAGTTTCTTTGGATGATTTAGAACTCAACTCCCGTCTCTTCACCATGTCATGAACCAGAGGCGGAAAAAGCTGGTGTACAGTGTCATACAATGCTAGAAGAAGAAATGGAACGGGATGAAGATGAAGTAATGAGTTCTTACGTTATCGAGAACAATTCTAATCAGCAAGAGGGAACTGGCGAAGCAGTTTCTATTGATGAAGCAATTGCATGGGCTAAGGAGAAATCCCAGTCACTATCTTTTGGCAGACAGCATAAAAATGTTTTGATAGACCACCACTCAGATGAACTGCAAGGTGAAGAAATATCTTGATGTCTTCTCTTAGATTTGATTGAGAATTCGTTATTATAATTTACACGTTCTTTCTCTTTGTCATCGAAATCATGCAGAAAGGCCTAATATGCATGATTTTGTTGGGCATCTAATGGATGGACATGGAACAAGGCAATTGACTAAGGTAAACCACTTCAGTCCCCCCCAAAGCATTAACAAATGGATTGTGATAGAATGATGAAATATTTGTATAGTTCTTAGAACAGTATATCGATCACTGCCGTCTAGCAACAGACTAGTCAGCTTTGGTATGTGCTGGATGCTGTATTGTCAAAATTAAAGACATTTAGCATCGATGGCATTGTAGCTAGATCGTAGGTATATCATTAAACCTTCCAAGGTATTGTAGAACCAAGTTCCCCAATGTTGTTCGTCTCATAGTTTTGAACTTACAGATTTCACATTCTAAGGATACCCTATTTTAACAATGAATCGAGAGGGACACTACTACTTTTGAATAATTCATTTGTGTTATTTTCCGAATATGAATATTGTTCTGATGAGGAGAGAAATAAAAATTTTAGAGTGGGAATAGGTGTAATTCAGTGGTATATTTCCCCTTTTACTTTGCAGGAAGAAGAACCATATAAATCCAGAAGAGAGGAAGTAGAACAATCAGAAAATGATTTAAGCTCCTGAACTAACAATGTCTAGTATTGTCAACAATAAACATTTACTTGAAAGAGTATATTAACATCCCAGAAGTGCAAAATTAACTCATTTGGAAATTAGTTATGAGATTTTTTATGGATGCTTCTTTTCTTTTTCTATTATATAAATACACAGATGGAGATCGAGCTATTGGATGAAGACATCAGGTTGTGGTCAGCTGGAAGGGAAACTAATATCCGTCTGCTGCTATCAACACTACATCCCGTAATAGACATATTCTCTAATTTAGCTGTTACGCACTTCATATATATATTACAATGTTTTGATTAATGAATTAATGCAGATTCTGGCCAGACAGTGGTTGGTATGCAATCCCACTAACAAGCCTTGTCGAAAAGCTCACAAGTCAAAAAAGTTTATCAGAAAGCATACTTGCTTGTGGACGTAGCCCAAATTGGGTGAACCACGTAAATTCTTGTGTGTCTCATTTCTCATTTTATCCTATTCCTTACCTTTTGTCTTGTCGGGTTTGCATGCCAGCGTTCTAACAATGGATGGACATGGAACAAGGCAATTGACTAAGGTAAACCACTTCAGCCCCCCCGAAGCATTAACAAATGGATTGTGATAGAATGATGAAATATTTGTATAGTTCTTAGAACAGTATATCGATCACTGCCGTCTAGCAACAGACTAGTCAGCTTTGGTATGTGCTGGATGCTGTATTGTCAAAATTAAAGACATTTAGCATCGATGGCATTGTAGCTAGATCGTAGGTATATCATTAAACCTTCCAAGGTATTGTAGAACCAAGTTCCCCAATGTTGTTCGTCTCATAGTTTTGAACTTACAGATTTCACATTCTAAGGATACCCTATTTTAACAATGAATCGAGAGGGACACTACTACTTTTGAATAATTCATTTGTGTTATTTTCCGAATATGAATATTGTTCTGATGAGGAGAGAAATAAAAATTTTAGAGTGGGAATAGGTGTAATTCAGTGGTATATTTCCCCTTTTACTTTGCAGGAAGAAGAACCATATAAATCCAGAAGAGAGGAAGTAGAACAATCAGAAAATGATTTAAGCTCCTGAACTAACAATGTCTAGTATTGTCAACAATAAACATTTACTTGAAAGAGTATATTAACATCCCAGAAGTGCAAAATTAACTCATTTGGAAATTAGTTATGAGATTTTTTATGGATGCTTCTTTTCTTTTTCTATTATATAAATACACAGATGGAGATCGAGCTATTGGATGAAGACATCAGGTTGTGGTCAGCTGGAAGGGAAACTAATATCCGTCTGCTGCTATCAACACTACATCCCGTAATAGACATATTCTCTAATTTAGCTGTTACGCACTTCATATATATATTACAATGTTTTGATTAATGAATTAATGCAGATTCTGGCCAGACAGTGGTTGGTATGCAATCCCACTAACAAGCCTTGTCGAAAAGCTCACAAGTCAAAAAAGTTTATCAGAAAGCAAGGCTATGTTTCCACCCTGACAAGTTACAACAAATACAAGCGTAAATATGTTGCAGAGAAGACCTTTTCCATCCTGCTGGTAAGTTTTTGACCTGGCTGGAACAAAGACCAGAACAGGATACAGCGACAAAAAGTTTTTAAGACAATGGACTAGTTTATATATGTTGTTATTTCATGAATACTAGTTTCAAGAACACCGAAAATCTGAATCTTATTCTTGTTTCTGAATGTGGTTACAAGATGAATGGGCTGCTTTCGTTTCCCGAGAGTTTTTGTTTAACTAGAGACGATTCAGGATCCATTTTATACTCATTTGGAAACCAACAAGAGAAGCTAGCTTGCTCGATCGGCTAGTTCATTTGAAGAACGAAGAAATATATCAAGAGTAGATGGGCACGACCCAGATTTCAGGACTGTGAAAACAAATCAATAACAGTTTTTGTTCATTGCATGCAAGCTTTTCAAAGTTCCTAGATTAAGTTCACATAATGAGGGAACCAAAAAAGCTATGCTAAGCAACAAGGAGAAAGATGGATGACGTCCTAATGTTTTTTTTTTTTTGGTGGTCTTTTTCTTAATTTTATTTTGTGGTTAATAATTAGTGACTTTATTTTGGTATTTTACTTGAACTTTTCGAGATCAAACCTCTCCCGTGCAATCTGCCCACTACACCCCAGTAAGCAGATCTTGTCATACCTTCAAAATTTGCTTTGACTTATAGGCTGAATGAAAATTGTTGATGCATTTTATTTGATTAATAATCTGACTTCTATAATTAATATATAAAATTAATTTATAATATTTATAGATAGAAGGTAGATTAAGAAAATGATCAATTTTTTGGCATTAAAATAATTTGTTGTCTACCTTGGTTCTAGTAGCATAACTGCAATATAGATTCTTATGCTTCTTGAATTTTTTATTTTTATAGCACAACAAAAAATAAATAACAAATCAAAATTTATATCTGACTTTAATTAAAAAAAAAAAGATAAATGATTAGAGATTCTTTTTAAGGAAAGAGTTATTGAAAGAGCATAAGTTTTATATGAATCATTAATATCATGTCACAATTATTTCTATATTTGTAGTTTTTTAAGAATATAACATTTAGTTATTCAAATTCATTTGTATTTTCACTTTCTTGCTCATAAACAAATATCTAATTATTCAAATTCAGTTATATTTTCACTTTCTTATTCACCTATAAACACATGTTTTTTTAAGTGTTTTGAATATCATATAAAGATTTTTTTTTCTTCTTATACCTAGTTTTTCATATTTGTGAGCTTAAATTTCACAACTCTAAAGTTTCAAAATACTAAAATCAGGTTTACATTTTATTCATAATTAATATGATGTATTTATATATGACTTAGATGACATATGATTAAGTGCATATATGATAGTTAATAATATATCATTTAGTAGGTGATAAGCAAATTTATTTATGTTATCATTGACTTAACGATTTAAAGTAGGGTTCTATTTTTTTTCCAACTCTATTTTGTTATGATATTTCATGAATAGTCAATTATTATTCCATTTGTCTTTCATCACATAATTCTCTAAGTTGATTAGATAAATACTATTATCCTTAAACAGTTCTTAAAATTTTTATTTTAATGTCTAATTGATTCTTGAAAAGGTTCATGTATTTTATGAAGCAACTTCAAGCTTTTATATATATATATCGAGTGGCTCCAATTTTGACATTATCAATGACGTTTTGGGTAGATAAGAGAAGATAAGGATTGTCACCAAGTCAAGAGTTGGCTACCCACTCATCAATTACTCATCAAATCAATAGTTCCCAATTTTGGCCTATAAAAGGAGGCATTTGCCATGCATTTAGGCATCTTGGTTTCCAGATCAAGATCATGCTCTTCCTTCCTCTCTTTGTATTTTTTGTAATGTTTATGCTTTGCTTTCATTAATATCAAGTTTATGCCTTTCATTTCCTTTCCTTTACTTAGTTAACTTTTATCTTATTTATGTTTTTATTTTGTTTATTTGTTTTTCTTTCTTTCATTATGTTTAGTTAAGTTTATTATGTCAAGGTGAAAAGGTTACACTAATGGTGTAAGAATAAGTATAGTGTAAACTTAGTATGGACTTTAATGTTTGATACTAACATGTTTTGTATTTGTTATCTTGTTTACTTTTTAATACTTTGCTTGTTAAATAGCTAATCTAGATTTATGTTATATAACACTTGGTACAACAAATACTTAACACTCTCATAGCTCATAATGTATGGTATAACTGACATCTGAGTTGTGAAAGGAACTTGATTTGTTGTTAACATAAGTTATAATCATGAATGCCTGACGAGATTTACAAGTATTAACAATAATCAAATAAGATAACTAATGTGATCATGTTAACAATTTATAATCTGATTGAAACCTTCTTTATGTGTGGTTTCCTATTGAATAATGAGAGTTTATACTATACTTGTTTAACATACTATTAGTGGAACCTCTAACCTTGACATTTGTTATTATCATTGTTTAATCCTTACATTAATATTCCATCTCAAAGTTCTTGTCTTCTTCTTCTTCTTCTCTTTTTTTTTTCTTTACTACTACTACTGCTACTACTGCTACTACTACTACTACTACTACTATTACTATTGTTGTTGTTGTTATTGTTATTATTTTTGTATTATTGTTATTTATAATTTGTACAATTAACATCCCTATAGTTCGACCCCCGTTATGCCGGGTTATTTATTATTTTGACACTCTTGCATTTAGGAGAAGATATCAATCTTTTGGTCATGTCAAGTTTTTGACGCCGTTGCCGGGGAGGTAAGTTCTTGTACAAATTATAGTATTTATTTTATTTTCTCTTTTTATTTTTCTTGTATATAACTTTGTTTCTTTTCTCTTGTTTCCTTTTCTTTTGTTTTCTTCTTCCTTTTATTCTATTCCTATATGTGTATGAGAGCGTGGTCACGTACATAAAGTGGTAAACTTTATAGGGTATCCTCATCATTTTCAAAAAATATGGCCGAAGAAGAAAACTAGTCACTTTATAATGACAATAATGAGAATAATATGAATAACCATGTTAGAACACTTAAAGACCACATGAATCCCACAAGAACAAGTGCACCATCATACATAGTTTTTCCTCCTGATGCATCTTATTTTAATTTTAAGCTAGACATTATTCAATGTTTACCTTCTTTTCATGGCTTAGAATTGGAAAATCCATACTTGCATTTAAGGGAATTTGAGGAAGTCTGCAACACATATAATGAGTCAAATTATAGCATGAACACCATCAGATTAAAGCTTTTTTTCTTTTTCATTAAAAGATAAAGCTAAAACATGGCTACAAAATTTGAGATCAGGATCCATTTGTGCTTGGGATGAAATGCAACAACAGTTTTTAAAGAAGTTTTTCTCATCTCACAGAACAAACTCTTTCAAAAGACAAATCACCACTTTCACTAAAAAACCAGGAGAAACATTTTACCAATGTTGGGAGAGGTATCAAAACTTGCTTAATACTTGCCCTCATCATGGTTTTGAAATATGGAGATTGGTTTCATATTTTTATGAAGGGTTAACATCTAAAGATAGGCAAATTGTTGAATTGATGTGTAATGAAACTTTTGAAGATAAAGACCCTGATGAAGCAATGGAGTACTTAGACTTGTTAGCTGAAAATGTTCAAAATTGAGACATCACGGGTACTTATGAGGCACTGAGTAAAACTCAACCTCATACATCTAGTGGAGGTATGTATAACCTTAGGGAAGATCATGACCTCCAAGCCAAGTTTGCATCTTTAGCTAGAAAAGTCAAGGCACTAGAATTGAAAAAGAGTGGTCAATTAAAATTTATTGAAAACATTGTATGTCAAATATGTGAAACAAATGAACACTCAACCACTAATTGTCCAACCTTACCTTCTTTTAAGAATTGTTTCCATAAACAAGCCCATGCTTTAAACATTTTTCAAAGGGCAACCACAACCCATACTCACAAACATACAATCCTAGTTGGAGAAATCGCCCAAATTTTAGTTGGAAGAGTGATAATAACAATGTACAAACTTCACAACCACCGTTTCAAGCACACTACAATTTCTAAAATTCTCATGGATATGCACCTCCTTATGCTCCACCTCGTAGAACAAATCTTGAGCAAATATTACATGTATTCATTGAAAAGCAAGAGACAATCAATACTCAACTTGCTCAAAACATGACAGATTTTAAAGATACTCGCAAAATTAACATCTGCTCTCAGTTTCCAAGAGAAAGGTAAGTTTCCATCTCAACCACAACAAAATCCCAAGGGGTAATAGAATGTAAATGCAAGTAGTTCCAGAAGCCAACACATGGATCAAGTCAAATTAGTCACTACTCTTCGCATGGTAAGGTTATTGGAAAACCCACTCTTGAACCTTGTGAAAAAGATGATAAATCAATCTCTGAGGGTAAAGAAGGGGTTGAATCTGAAATTTGTAAAAAAAAAGACTGATTCCCCACTAACGCTTCTATTTCCTCATGCCATGACTAAACAAAAGAAAGTTAATCACAACTCTGAAATTTTTGAAACTTTCAAATAGGTAAGAATCAATATACCTTTACTGGATGCTATTAAACAAGTTCCTTCCTATACTAAATTTTTGAAAGATCTATGCACGGTGAAGAGAAAACTAAATGTGAAAAAGAAAGCCTTTTTAGCTGAACAAGTAAGTCCATTCTTCAGAATAATAATGCTTTGAAATATAAAGACCTTGGTTGTCCTACAATTTCTTGCTTTATTGGAGAACATAAAATTGAAAGAGGCTTACTTGATCTTGGAGCCAGTGTGAATTTACTTCCATATTCAGTTTTTCAAAGTCTTAATCTAGGTGAGTTAAAACCAACTTCTATAACTCTTTTACTTGCCGATAGATCTGTAAAAGTGCCTAGAGGAATAATTAAAGATGTGTTAATACAAGTCGATAAATTCATTTACTTGTGGATTTTCTTGTCTTGGACACACAACCTGTTGAAGTATGTAATTCATTTCTTGTTATTTTAGGACATCCGTTTCTTGCAACTTCTAATGCGTT